TGTATAATCTCTATCGAACATGTAAAGCATATCTTGCTACTGGCTGTAAATTGTGATTGAATTATATGGTTCTATTTCTGTAACAATTTGATGATGCCTGTAAACTGGCGTCCCTCATGTACTGTACTATGAGAATAAATTTATTTATTTATTATTTATTTATACGAAGAAATTCACACAAAAACAAAGTCAAACTTCAGGTCAAGGAAACAGTCAACACCAAAACAAGTGAACCAGAAAGTGAGAAGTCACACAAAAACAACCAATCACGTCCAAGGTTAGCAGAAGGAATGACTAACGACATTCAGACCAAAGAAGCAGCCAGCACCGAGACAAGCAAACTAGGGGATGAAATGTCACACGAAAACAACCAATCACGTTCAAGGTTACTAGAAGAGATGACTAATAAACTCATAGAGAATTCTAAAAGCTCACTTCACATCGAAGTATGCGCTGAAGATGTTGCTCAGTAGAGCAATGAAAGCTTCGCAACCAAACCATCCAGCTCAGAGAACACAACCACACCAAAATCATCCACCTGAGCTACAAATCTTCTCTATTATATCTAAATCATACGAGCGGAACACGCTTCTTTCTGTTCGAAAGTGGGAAGACTTCGCCAGACGGCAAGGATCCACCAGAGAACAACTATTTTTTCTCCATGAGTGCCTTCGTCATCAAATTCTACCAACCAGCGTGAGATATAAGCCACCAATCAACTGCCCAATGGGATGGAAATTAGCTGAACAATGTGGAAGAAAAATGGTTAAACTAATGATTACAGATGCACATTATAGAATCAAGAAATATCAACAAATAATGGACTTTGAAAAAGAGAAACTAGAGAAAATCCTCAGCCAAGAACACCTTTCAACAACGATCACCGCAATCGCACTGACAAGTAGTAGACACAGAGAGCGTAGACGAAAAGTTCTCAGAACCAAGCTAACCAAAATCAAAAAACAACAGCCGAACAATACACCAACTGATTGCGTAGTCAATTTATCAAAACAGCCGCTGTCAAAAATGGAACAACAACTACTTCAAAAAGGATTAAACTACAACACTGAAGACGCCTCGAGAACAGACTTCTTCGCTGCTCTTGAATCAACACTCAAATCATCAGAATTAAGTGAAGAAACACAAGAAGAGATACGTCAAACAATAGTGCCTATAGTTAAACAAAGAAAACGACACACACAACTCAACTCACAAGAACAAAAAGCCCTCAAAAGACTGAAAAACAGGAAAGATATCGTTATAGTGCCAGCTGACAAAGGAAGGACTACAGTAATCATGGACAAAGAAGAATACACTGCAAAAGCGGAAGAACTACTCAAAGATCAAACAATATACCAACAATTAACAACAAACCCCATCGAAACACTAAACAACCGCATCCAAAGAACCCTAAGCAAACTCACCAAAACGGGTCAGATCACAAAAGAAGATCAATGGCGAATGAAATCCAATGGACCCGTCATACCTCGATTCTACGGCAGACCAAAAATACACAAGCCAAATATACCTCTACGACCAATCGTATCACTCCCAGGAACCCCAACATACAATTTATCCAAAGAACTATACAGAAGACTGAAACACTTAACGAAATCATGTGATCACTCCATCCAATCTGCGACCCAATTTTTAGAGAAAATCAAAGGCATTGAAATAGACAGCCAAGAAATAATGGTATCCTTCGACGTCACGGCATTATATACTTCGATTGGACTAAAACTAGCAAAAGAAACCATGGAACAACTACTCAACAACGACGAACACATACAACAATCAAAAATGCAGCATCCAAGTTGGATGGAATGCATAAACTTGTGTCTCACAACTTATTTCCAATTCAACGGCCAAATGTATGAACAAATTCAAGGGACACCTATGGGATCACCCATATCAGGATTGATTGCGGAAGCCGTCATGCAAAGACTGGAAAACATAATTCTGCCAAAGATCAAACCGAAAATTTGGATACGCTACATAGATGATACATTCGTGATAATCAAAAGAGAAAACTTAGACAATACCCACAACATAATAAACAACACCTTCAACGACATCAAATTCACAAGAGAGGAAGAATATGAAAACAAAATCCCATTCTTAGACGTCTTAATCAAACGAACAACTACAGGAAAATTAGAAACCCAAGTATACAGAAAACCAACGCACACGGATCAAATACTCAATTACAACAGTAACAACCCAACATCACACAAAATTAGCTGCATACGTACATTGTTCAAGAGAGCCAGGACTCATTGCAGCACTCCCGCCTTGAGGAAAATTGAAGAAAATCATCTTATGGAAGTCTTCCAAAGAAATGGATACCCACGAAACTTCATCAAAAGACATCTACCCCCAGCTCAACCAACCAAATCAAAGGCCACCAGCGAAAACACAAAGAAAGTCGTCCTACCATATATAAAAGATATCTCCGAAATCACTGCAAGACTATCCAAACCTTTTGGAATCGATGTCGCTCATAAACCAACAAAGTCACTACACTCAGTTCTATGTAAGCCAAAGGACTCAACGGCAAAAGAAGACAAAACTAACGTCATCTACAAGATAAATTGCAACGACTGCGACAAACATTACATTGGTCAAAGTGGACGCCCTCTTCGTCTTCGCATTCACGAACACAAACTAGCTGTCAAAAGACACGACATACACTCCCTCATATCACTACATGCAGACAACCACGGGCACCAATTCGACTGGGACAATGTTCAAATCTTAGACAAAGGGAACTGCAAAAATGCCAGAGAATTCCTAGAGGCCTGGTATTCAAATGAATCAGCAATCAATAGACACATAGAGATTGACAAAATATACCAATCCATACGAAGAAATTCACACAAAAACAAAGTCAAACTTCAGGTCAAGGAAACAGTCAACACCAAAACAAGTGAACCAGAAAGTGAGAAGTCACACAAAAACAACCAATCACGTCCAAGGTTAGCAGAAGGAATGACTAACGACATTCAGACCAAAGAAGCAGCCAGCACCGAGACAAGCAAACTAGGGGATGAAATGTCACACGAAAACAACCAATCACGTTCAAGGTTACTAGAAGAGATGACTAATAAACTCATAGAGAATTCTAAAAGCTCACTTCACATCGAAGTATGCGCTGAAGATGTTGCTCAGTAGAGCAATGAAAGCTTCGCAACCAAACCATCCAGCTCAGAGAACACAACCACACCAAAATCTCATAGACTCCAATGCCATATCTTCTCATTCCTTTGGCAGCCTTCCCAGCCTCGTACTATTTGCAAGCATCCCATGTCCTAAAGCTTATTTTGGCTTTCATAGAAAGAACACGTCGGCTGACTAGCTCCTAGAAGGCTTTCATCGACCCACATCAGTCCTCCCATCCTTTTCTAGAGGATAATGAGTTTGTTTTTATATTTCAGTTGTGTGTTGGAGTTTCTGTAGCGACTAGATTTACTTACTGAGGTAAGGTGACTTGCCACACGTCCGATCTTGCCTGTGTTTCCAGTCTTACGATCGGCTGGAAAAGTAGCGAAGCAGGCGTCGTTCCGCCTCAAATTTAGCTTTCCAGAATGACCAGTATTTATAATTTTTATTTTTCATGTAAACCTATTACAAACGCATGTGACCAGATTGACTGAAACATTTTGCGCATATACATTAAATGGTTTAGACAAGTCACGTATTATTTCTTCTACGAAATCCATAAACGGAAATAACTGTCTGAAATAAAAATGTGCTGGCTATCAATCAAACATATGCAGCTGAGGTTTATACAAAGCACACGCACAACGTCGGAACGCGACTTAGGTCTAGTTCTAACGGAAAAATGGACACAAGCGTAGCGAGGGCATATGCGGTCATACACTTTTCACATAGGCAGTAAGGTGCACTCACTCCTGAGCTCTTTCTAAGGTTGTACAAAACATACATCATACCACACCTTGAAGTGCATAATATTATTGCACCCCCACTGCTAAGAAGAGACACCAACCTCTTGGAAAGAGTCCAACGACAGGCAACAAAAGGAGTGGTTGGTCTCCGAAATAAACCATATGATGAAAGGCTGAAGAAATTAGGCCTATTCACACTTAGCTACCGTCGGCTTAGGGGGGATTTAATTACTGCCTACAAAATAACAAATGACCAGAATCATCCAAACAAAGGTGTTCTGCCACTGAGTAGGTATAGGCTCCCTCATGGAAATCCTAGAAGGATAGCTCACCAGAGGGTAAGGACCCGGGTGCGCTCCCACTTCTTTTCCCTGTGGGTTTGCCGTCTCTGGAATTCCTTACCGGCAGATGTAGCTATTGCTCCATCTGTGAATGCCTCTAAGCGAAAGCTGGACAACCATGCAGCGACACAAGGACTGCATCCAAATGGCCTATCCCCTTAAAATCGCATACGCCATTCAGGGGAAGACAATTAAACTGGTCGTTTTACTTCTTTACATTGTCTTCCGTCTTACTCTCCTGACAGCTTTAACTACACCTATTATTATTATCATTGTTACCGGTATATAAACATACCGGTTGACTGACTGTGGTTACGTTTTCTTATTCTTTTTCTGTCTGTTAGTCTGAATACCTGCACTAATTATATCTATTATTATTATCTCTTTTCTATTGACGACGATACCGAAGGACCAACTGGTGAAAGGATCAACTCCATTCACAGTAGTAACAGTCTTAACACACCTCATACTACAAACCACATATAATTAATCCCAGCAGTACTCCTTTTGGAGTCAACCAAAGCTACGACAGTCGAGTGGCGGGACGAGCTACGCAGAAGTTTACCGAAGATCAGGAACCTCTACCTCACAATCAAGGGGCGAGCGCAAAGAAATCGAATTGGTTTATACTAGCTGGTAAATACGATATTGGATATTGGAAGCATCTGTTACACCACAAAATATGAGTTAATTTAGAAATTTCGTCCTGAAATACATGTAAAGTAATGATTACAGACGGAACAAAATTCAGCAAGGAGCCGTGACGATCGCATAGTACCATATTTTCAGAGTGTGGTACATTTCAATTCAAATTCAAGTTTGGGGTTTGAGGTCAGGAGTAATCGCGATGACTTCGAAAGCTGAGTTTCGGACTGTTAGTTAAATTGCTTTCTTTACTTAATATGCTTAGGTAATGGTTGAAGGAAATATAGGCTGCGGAAAGTCGACATTTTTACGTTTCTTCCAGCAGCTGTCACCTAAAACTGAAGTGCTACATGAACCTTTATACTTATGGAAAGATGCTCGCGGCTACGACTTATTTGTAATACCCGAAATTTTCACAGTTTCATATGTTTAGGAACTTATGTATCAAGATGCATCTCGTTGGTGTGTTCCTTTTCAGGCTCAAGTTTTAGTGACACTGCTAGATCGTCAGTCAAAACTGCCGGTAATTAATTTTCCGTTCATCTCCACTTTTTCCTTAATCTTATAACTAATGTTAATAGTTTTACGCTGAAACTGAATCAAAGTGTCATTTTGAGTGGTATGTATATATTTCACCTTGTGAATACTAATATTTCTGGAGTGGTTATGGAAAGGAATGTTGAGCTTATTATATCAAACGTACATAAGAGCCCATCTTGAATACTGTATACGGCCTTCTGATCCTTAAAGAAGACAGATGTTACAAATAGGAATCACTAGTTTGGTGGCAGAAATGTCTAATCCCTTTGATGGTAGCAGTATGGGAATTTAAACTATGACAACCACTTCAGCATATGACTTTCGATAACCAATTATATTTTCAGGTGGTACAACGAAACCAAATTATATATTCCGTTTTAAATTAACTACGCAAACTGCAAAAGGATCACTTGTTTGAGTGCTATGTAAATAGTGGGATAATGGGAGTTACTATAAGATGCATATGCGGAGAAATCTTGACAAGGTAACTGATGCTTTAGGGGGCGGGTGGGTCGAGATTTCGAAGTGAACCAGAGAATAGGGTCAGAAATATTAAAGGCTATGAAAACTCTATGGTTTATATACATGTTTCCAACGATAACACGACTTACTGCTCCTTAATTCTGATTAGTTGCTCAAAGTAAGCAGTAATGTCCCTCAGGGTGACCAACACAGATTAATTTCACCATATATCGTAATCACAGATGCTATATAACTTCAGCTGCGTCGGTGGTTCAGCGGTAGGATGCTCGCCAATCACGCATGTCGTCCGGCGTTCGATCCCCAGCCGGTAAAGAGGGAAGGTTGGACGGGAGACTAGCAGCCTCACCCAGTAAAAATAATCACCACTGCCACCAAAATTTCAAAGCTCTGGCTTGAATCCCTATGTTCCACTGGGAACGTGAAGGAAAAAGACTTTTTAAAAATATCACTTCAGGATATTGCATTTTAAGTAATGACTTCGGTTCTGACCTCGTGAATCTTTCTCCTCCGTCTTATAAAAAGGGTTTTATAGCCACAGTTTAACTAACTCTAGGCGGAATTCTGATTCCTTCATCTGTAATTTAGCAATTGATACTAATTACCAGAACACTCAAAAAGAAACCACATGTCCACATTGATATATACTAAAAAGGTTAAAACTGGATATCCTCTACCTATCTTCACAAGTCATGTCAAAACAGTAGAGTAGAACAATGAACTGCTGCTCAGCTTATGTGCCCTCTGGTAAGTATTGGCTGAAGATGAAACAAGCTGCCAAATATCAAGCAGGGTTTTGTACCCTCGCTAATATCTGTCCAGCAACCAGTCTGTTAGTACTATTGTAACTCCTCGAATAAGTGAATAGCCGTTGCTTTCAAACATTTCATTCCATCAGTAAATTAAGAGTTAGTGCAGACCACCCCTGCATAATAATCTTATTTTTGACATGGACGCACCTACTCAAATGTTCGATCAGAGTGTCCGAAAGATTTCGCACTCTATCAGCGTCGTCACGTAAAACATGCATGCATGCTCTAGATCATTGAGGCTATCTCCACGTAACAAGTTTATCCTTGAGGAGCCACGTATACATCCTGTTATGAACGCCTGTCACGCCTACGTCACTGGCCACATATATATCATTGTTTTCTTTTGTATATATGCTGTAGCTGACACTGAAATACACTTTATTGCTCGTGTCCTTGTGTTCTCGCCTAAGTAGAACGGACTGGGGGTGGGGCGGGTAGTTGTCGTATATTGTTGTTGGTGTTAGACTAACAATATTCGTGATAACCGCATCCGTGTCCAGCTTCTGCGTCCCTATTCAACTCAGTGTATTGCAAAATATAGAATTGGTAACATCGTAACACATTTCTAACTTTGGATCTGATAAGTCAATTCGCTGTGTGCAGGCAGGAGTGCCAACTGACGAATGTTAATGGCATCTTTATCGAGGGAATGTTTTATACTCTTATTATTTCATTATGTTACATCTGATGAATCATTACTACATATTTGTCTTTCCTTCTTGATATTTAGACGAAACCAGTACGTCTCCTTGAAAGGTCCATCTATAGTAGTAGATATTGTTTCACAGAAAATATGCATAATAAGTAAGTATTTTTGATGTAGCTATTTTGAACATTGAAGTAAATCACGAATACATTCACTACAAAAATTATAAAAAGCATCATAGATTAAACTTTTAACTCTTTGGCTTATGTGTATACCCCTTTAAATGATTAGATTAAAAAAAATAAACTATCTTCTGCTATATTACTTAATATGATGCTCCACACTATGGAGTTCGAATGATAACTAACTGTATGACAAGACAAATTTGATGTTGCTCATTGGCTTAAGGACTTGACTAATAGCTAGTGAGTCCCAGGCTCGAATCCCGTCCCACCTACTTTGGCCGGGACAACTGAGTAGTATCACCAGCTGTCTTGATAAGTGTGGCTCATACATAGCCTGGTACATAAAAGATTTGTCCTAGTTAGTTGAGTTCTAACAAACAATCTAATGTATGCAATAAATTCTAGTAATAGTGAAAAACTAAATCAAACAGGGTGATTGCTGTCCTCTTGCAGATCATTACTAACTAATAGTTAACCACTGAGATATAACTTCGTTTATAATCAATGGATGTGACTAATTTTCAGTTTATATCTTACTACTGAAGTCTAGAAATCTTGGATAACATAAGTACAAACAATAATTGATCTGAAGGTCAGATTAATTAACACATATAGTATTTAGGTAATTTACACAGTAATGGAAACAGTTAATAACGATAATAACACTTAATATAAAAGTAATTGGGCGTCCGAGGGTAACATGGAGGAGATCGTGTGTGGAGAAGATGACAGCTTATATGTAATCTGGAACCAGCTAACAGGACTGCAGACAGCAGGATGAAATTGAAATATGCTGTTAAAGCCCTGTGTTCCACCCAGAACCTGATAGAATAATTTATAAATAACTAATCATATTCAGAACAGTCGAACATATCGTCATTTGTAGAATAATTCCCATAGTTTGTCTTTTACTAAGGTTAATACTGACAACGTGTAGAATGTTTGAATTCAGTAACTCACAACCGATGTTTTATGTAACAGTCTCTGAACCCGATTTATTGTGTGAGGGTTAGCGTTACTACTTAGTTCCCTAGGCTGTAGTAGTTGGAGTGAAGCTTGAAACTAGGACTTGGTAGCCGTAAGTGCTGAAACCAATAAACCATATCTCTATGATGATCATAGTAAATTTGATACTATCTAAGCCTTATGTCTTATTGATGCAAATTTTAGAAGCCCTTCATAGTTAATCTGAATTTCTCCCCCTACTTAAAGTGGGCATCAAATGACTCTCAAGGGTGTACACGAAAAACTTACCCAGAACATAATAACATATTTAGTACCTAGATGAATAGAATCTTTAATACTTAAATTTCACCTGATTAGTTTCAATAATTCTTTATCTTGGTCTTCAAATTAAGCAAAATCCTCTTGTAGAAAGCACACCGGACTAAGCCGATTGACTAATGTGACTATAATAATCTACCGACTCAGTGGATGTTGGATTTACGAAACGTACTGGATAAGCGACAGTTGAGTATGTGTGAATGTGGCTGACAGAGTTTTCATCGTAGAACTTTGCGCAGAAGTGCAGCAATTCAGTTAGTCATACTATATGTAGCACACAAATTTTGTGTGTATCACTGACATGAGTAGTCCGTTTTTAAGTAGTTCTTCAGGATTTTGCATCCTGCTATACCTACAATGATCTAGGTTGGCTTGTTTGTTTTGTAAGCTCCCACTAAGATACACCTGACCTATTGTCAAACATATATGCATGTAATTGCTGTGCTTTAGCAGGTGCTGACTTAATAGTGTCGTGCATTATTTCACTGTTGTGAAAGGCTGACTAAGGAAAATAGGATATGGGTATTAGAATACAGTACCTAAGGTAGAGTTACTAGAATCACAAGGTGTAAGTCTGAAATTATGGTTAAGTATAATTCGGTAATATGATTCATTTTTTACCGCCACATTGCTTATAACGTTTCGAGGTCGCTGCTTGTATTCCCCTAACTATCTGACCATTTTCTTCCGGCTCTGTTAGCTTTATGTTTTGATTATGTTGGGGAATATTATTTTCCTTATATGCAGTTTATAGATGTGCAGTTACCTGTCACTCCTATTTTACTTATTGAGTATTTGGCACGATGGGAAGAAAGGTTTACTAACCACATCATGATCCTATGATTCCAAAATTACTTTATTGTTTGAAACTATTAGAATTCATATCACAGTGGGTGTTAATCAACAACTAACTTGCATTTCTATGCATCTGGTAATGATGTACACCTACTGTTGTGTAGTGATTAGCAAGCTGTCTAAACATCCGTAGACGGAACTAGATTGCGACACATCATCTGATGGTTGGAATTCAAGTGTATCGACCAACGAACCACAGCTCCACATTTTATAGGCTTTTACTTCACTCTAATTTCTTTTGAATTTCCCCACTTACTTCAAACTGGATAGTATCATTTCCTCTAACACAATAAGTGCAGGTGGTAGTCTGGTACATGGAAAATGTAATCTGGATAACTGAGTTCAGACAGCATAAGTTTTTAGTTAGCTTAGCGCTTTAAATCGTGTAAACTGACTGAGTTTTAATGTTGAACATAGCACAGAAGTACAACAGTTGAATTCTCCATACTCCATGGAGCACAAAAAGGTGGAGAAGAGAAAAAAATACTTAAAAGACTCAAAGATTACAAAAATTGATTGCACCTACAATGGAAAACGGTTTTGAGCTACATCACCAACATTCTGAAGGCAGTGACTCTAAGCATGTCGAGGACCTCAAGTAGAGGCACCCTGTATCTCCCTTTGTGACTCTAACAGTGAAAGACGCCATAGATTGCTGCCAGGTTTTGATTTGACTTCTAGGTTAATTTTATGTCAGCTAACATTTCTTGTTGAGGAAGGCGGTGACTCGGCACGCGTGCTACATTCCCTCCCCATCTCAATCGATAAAGCTTCCCCCTTTACTTAACAATCTACGTTAAACCTCGATATTACCACATCACACCACTTAAGTTTGGAGATAAGACGCAGTCACCTGCGGTCAGAGGCAGCTTCAGGTCTTCCACTTTCAACTGTCATGTTTCAAAGTCATAGGGAAGGACAGAGTGAACATCTGCTCAGTGCACACGTTTTTTGATCGATAGCCGCCGAAGATGACTTAAGTTAACAAATACAGCACGAGTCTTTTGTATCGGTGCTGAGATTTTGTCAGCAATCAGTTGTTCATTAGGGATGATCCAATCTCCCAAATAAGTAAGGTGCTCAACCACTTCACTGCTATCTCTAAATTAGGAGTCGGCGCAGATCATTCATCTCACATTTGCATACTAAACATACCTAGATTTCTCCTCAAGGTATTCAGAAGACTCTGAGCGTTATCAGCGTTTTCACCCAGAAGGACAATATCATCTGCACGGTAGACTTACATTCTTAACTTGAAGCAAATTATATAAGTATGTTGAGTGCATTCTGACCAAAATTGTTTGTACATTAAAAATAAGTATGTGTGGTCAGCGTGTGTTATCAAATCTAACGAAGTTATGCATTTGTCTGTTGTTTTTTCTGTTTTCTTTTATAGTGGCAGTATTTCAGATGCTGACTATGAAGAACTTGTTCGTATATTTCAATGGGTAATTAAAAATAAAAGTATACCAATTGATTTAATCGGTATGTTCAATTATTGTTGTTGTTCTTATTGACTAATAATTCATCCGTAAATTTGTCATATACTAATTACACTGTTTGATCTGGGGTGATTACAAATACAATTAAGCATTACATCAGCATCCTTGCGGTTGTTATCTGCAGCTAACATTCTGGAGAGTACACTTCCATTTCATCCGCTTTCACAGATTCCTAGCCTTTCTACGACATACATTCTTATTTCATTTGCAATCTGGACATCCTTAGCAGCCTAAACTTCTTGCCGATGTTAGATGTCTTCATACAAACTTTGGTATTCATCGAAAGAAGACACATTGGATGACTGGTTTCCCGAAGGCTTTCACCCTCCAGCATCATCCGTCCCCTAACTGAAGAGTTTTTTAGATCTTAGTGGAGCAGTAGTTTGTTTCTCCCATACTTTGAATTCCCAGTAGCGGTGAGATTGTTTGTCTCATTCTACACCTTCCTTATTTTACGGAATTAGGGCAGGCTAGTGAACTAACCGACGTTACTTCAAATATTCAATTGAAATACTGAATACCTACCATATATTCTCGTTTTAAAGGAGATGTCTCTGTTGAGGCTTTTATCCTTTACCGAGAACTTTGTGGTAGATGTATCACGGAAGGTTCACCACTAAGTCATTCATATGTGTTTTAGAAATGGTTTCTATAACAAATCATTGAACAATCAAGGAGTAGTGAACAGCTGTTTTGTCTGACCTCAGGACCATGCTGACCAAACCTCAGCTCTAGTATAAAAGGTTAGTGTTTAACTTGTCAAGTTGCATCATCTTCAACACAGAGGTAATACCCAGCTACCTATCGAAGAGCACACTTAGTGGACAGCAGTTAACATCGTTCCACTTTACCGCTATAAAACATAAGCGTTGGCTGTAGTTTTCTCCGCATGATGTTTCATGTTAGTTGGAGCAATATAATCAGTAATAATGAGATTATGCGTCAGCTGTTAGATAAGTGGGGTAAGTTAGTTGATGAAATCGTGAAGCTGCATAGATTGAGGTGTCTAGAACATGTATTATGCATGCCGAGTGACTGCCATCCTCGGAAAACAATGTTATACGATATGGGAATAGGTTGAAAAAGAGTTAGGGATGGCTAGATACAAATTTGGCATCAATTCATGTTTGGAATGCTAACAAATAATGGTTGAAGAATGTCGATAACATGGCTTTAGATTATTCTCAGTGGTGCTGATGTATCCACTTTTTGTCATCTTTCAAATTCACTATCGCATGCAAATTCGTCTATTGTAGTTTCATAACACTTATTTTCTCTACTTTTCTGAATGCGGAACTAGAATTGATTTGCGTTTATTAGAAATTCTACCTTGGTATTCAGTCAATCAGTTATGCATGCCTTGAGCATATAATGTGCGTTTAAACAAGATTAGGCTAGTCGATAGCTAGGAATGATCAAACTAAAACGCAACACAAATTGCGGAAGTCATGGACTGTTTGTTTGATTTGCATAATATAATATGTTGGTTTCCTGGTTATGTGCACGACTGTGAAATTTCAGTTTATTTTCTTAGATTTTGTGTATCAGTAACCAAATGTCAGTGAATCATATAAGGTTATGCCTCTAGTCGAATTCTCAATTTTGCAAACTAGGTCATGATATTTGTTTTACAGAGTTCGAGGTGAAATTTTTCACCATAGCTTCTTTTGAAAGCTCAAATCATTCAGATCACATTATGTGTGATCCCCGTGATTATCATGTGTGGTAATCAAGAAAGTGAGCACAAATGTATGATGCTATGTACTGCTGACTGATTGATATGAGTATTCGTTGGATAACAATTAACATTAACCAGTAGTGCTTGTTGGTTGGTCTGCTAGATTGGAGTAATGTAAACGTCGGTCAGCTGTTTTTCTCATTTGGAGTCGAGTTCACCATTGACTTTCAAAGAAAACTGTGGTGAAAAATTTCACCCCGAACTGTGTAAATTACGCATTCAATTCAATATATTACCAGTCCGCCCGAGTTTCTAGCCAGTAATAGGGTGGCTTGATGCAGTAAAACTTGGTACACCTTGAGAGTGAGTTCGCCCCTAAACGAGTAAAGCAGCCATCCGATGCTTAGATCACTTTGATCTGGCTAGCTGGTAAGGACTACTAGTTGATGTGATTGGTATCCGTCTGCTCATATCAGTCTATCAGCAGTTTATAAAGTAACGTTATACCTCCTGGTAAGATGCTAATATCATTTTGTTATTTTTCAATTTCTACTAAACTTTTTATCGCCAATTTTTATTTTGCTTATTCTCTTTAGTTTATCTTCGTGCCAGTCCAACTGTATGCATGGAGCGTATACGAGCCCGTAAACGTTCTGGTGAAGGCGACATTCCTCTAGTAGGTTTTAAGATTGTATGAATTACCTATAGATATGCAACTGTACTACTGTCTATTTAATATATGTATAGATTCAGCTTTTAACTGATTCACCATCGTTTTGTGGTTTATTTGCCTGTTCAACTCAATTTACACTTTTCTGCAGTGCTTTTTGTGTGTCCACGTATATCACATTGTCATCTACATCTAATTATTCCCTGAGGTGTTCTGAGTGGAACAAAGAGCCCCAGTAGCACATACCCATTTCACCCTACTCTCTGAAATCTTTTCCTTTAACTGGCTCCACAATTACCCATAAGCCTTCATTTCCTCCTCACATGATCTCCTCTGTGTCACCCTCAAAGTGACGCCCGATTCGTCGTTCCGCATTCGGGGTCCACTCAGGGACCTGGTGCGCAGTGTCACTCAGTGGTCTCCTCGTAGTATGTCCTGTCCACCACCGTTCCCTGTTGCATATTTGTTGGGTGATAGTTTCTTGGTTGGTTCGTTGCTAGAGCTCCTTGTTGCTTAATTCTTCTGGCCTGTGATCTGATCGTAAGTATGAGAACAAGGAACGCAACTGCTGATGAAAGTTAGCAGTAGCCTGTTGGAAATGATTTTCACCACATGCCATGTCTCTGAATCACACAGAAGCATTGGTTTTACATCCTGCTAGCTGATAAATGGTTACTTTGGTTGTTAGTGGCTAGCAGTAGAGAGCAGACACGTATTTCTTCCTATTTAAGACTCATGAGCTAGATGTATCTGCATAAAATTGATGTTAACAGATCTTTTAAACCTATCTACAAAACATGTTTGGGGCGTATCCTAAAGTTTGTGGAAGCCCTAGCTGGCAATTAGAAATTTTAAACCACCTCTATGCGTTCAAAAACAATTCGTCATCACATTAAACCTTCCTTGGTAAATTTTGTTTTCATACCATAGCAGATGTACTATTACCTCTGCTATTTAATGGTTTAGTAGTTTTCATTGTTATTTTGACCTTCAATATGTCCTTTTAACTTGACTGAAGTAGTCTATTTTCTCACCTCTTAACTCTTTATTAATTTCATATATATGTACTCCTATGACAAGTCCGTGTGTGTGATCAGATTGTTCGAAACGTGTTGCGCAAATAGATTACACGATTCAGACAAATTACGTCTTCTTATCGCTTTATCGAAATAAATTGAGTGTAAAAAGAGGCGTAGTCATGCCAAAATGTCTCAACTTTTTTACGTAATAAGTCAAATGAAAGATTCTCCTAGAGATTATTAGGGAATGAGACGACTAACACGGATTCGCAGAGAAACTGATGCCGAGGTAGGTCGTATTTAGCCGTAGGGGGGATTCTTATTACGCCTTCGGTTTATTTCCGTCGAGAAAATATTGTCGATAAACGAAAGGTTAGGAAATATGTTTTACTGAATTTCCGTGGACTAGATAAATTCTAAGGTGGAAAATACCCCCATGAGAACATTAGAGGTCAAAGGACAAGAAGTTCAGCATAGATATTTTTAGTGATTTCATTCTGAAAAGACGTACAATCGCATTTTTATACATGTATTCACAGTTATAGCGCATTTAATTCAGAATAGTAACGAAAGGAAATTAAAGGAGGTAATTATTTTAAACTTGATACGAAAGCTTGAGGAAGTAATGAAAGATGAATGTCAGTCACAAGGAGTTTAGAAACGACAACAATACAGGATTTAAAAAAAAATAATTGCGTTATGTGTAAAATAGTTTTTTTGACGAAGACATGTGTGAAAAAGGTGTACATAGAAACAAGAAATCAAAGTGATAATTCGTGTAACTGACGATGGAAACGGGGAAATGAAAAAAATTAAGTGAGCTAAATATAATAATTGTAACTATGTGAAGTTATGTGTGAAAATACGACTTACGAGGATAAAATCGCAGAAAAGACATTTTTGCTGAGCTTCTTGTTCTTTTCTCTCATATGATAGTGTTTTTTTTAATGTGTACCAGAAGAGTTGATGGTATCGTGATGTCTATTTATCTCTGCTGGGGTTGCCGATACCTACTGTCGAAGACTCTTAGATAAATTTTAGAAATAGTTGTTACGTTTTTTTCTTGTTTTTCTTGACGGATATCAGTTAGTGACCTAATCTACTGTGTTTTCGATCAGTTGATTTTTTATTCATCCTTTATTCGTTAAAGGATTGAATACTGAAAATAGCAGACCACATAAATGAGTAGCAAAATGAGTCAGTGTTAAATTATAGGCGATGAAATCTGATGCAAAATTTAATTATATCCATAGAAACCAAATTCTGAAAACTAATCAGCTGCTCATTATTGTGACTGACTGGCTTGCCAACGATTTTGGATGACGTTGGTGTTTTATATTGAAAATTGAAAGATGTTAAGGTAACTGTAAAGAATAACAACCGAACTTATTGACGTACTAATTAACCCTGAAAAACCAATCAGTAAAGTGACATAATAAGAAAGTATTATTGATTATAAAAATATATTTAAGACGAATAAATCAACAAATAATGAAATTAATTAGGGTAACATTCTGTGAAATGTAGGTTATAGTTTAATGGGCAGTAAACGGCTCTTAATCCCTGAACACTTACCTAAAATTTGACCTAAGAATAACCTTAACCCTAAGTGCTACCCTAAATTCTAACCTTTACTGAACACTAATTCTAAATATAACCCAAATCAAACAATCATCCTGATTGTGAGCCAATCCTAAACCTTCATTATAATAAAGGTTTTTGTATTTCCCAATGAATGAAAAACAAAACGATATTGTTGCTCTTACTGACGTTTCTCTTTTTAATGCTAATAGCTTTATTATTATTATTATTTCCTTTAATTCCTAGAGGAACATAGGGCTTCAGCCATGCGTCTCCATTGCGTTCGGTTCTCTGCTAGAGTTTTCACCTGGCTCCAGGTCTGCCCACATGCTTTCATCTCTTCTTCGCATGATCTCCTCCAGGTCACCCTTGGACGACCAACTCGTCGCTTCCCTTTCGGGTTCCACTCGAGCAATGGCTTGTCTAGTGATGTCACTTGATGGTTTCCTCAGAGTATGACCAATCCATCTCCATTTCTTCCTGCTTATTTGTATCACAGTCGGTTTCTGGTTGGTTTGCTCCCAGAGATCTCTGTTGCTGATCTTTTCTGACCGGCCATCTGATCTTGAGTATTGAGCGAAGACAACTGTTAATGAAGGTCTGTAGCTTGTTTGAGGTGCTCCTTGTGACACGCCAAGTCTCTGATCCGTATAGTAGTACTGACTTCACATTGGAGTTGAAAATCCCGATCTTATTTTTGACGCTGAATGATGTTGACCTCCACACAGACTTGAGAGTAATGAAAGCTTGCCTTGCTTTCCCGATCCTTGCTTTGATATCCTCGTCAGTTCCGCCTGTAGTTGAAACGATGCTTCCCAAGTAGGTAAAGGAGGTAGTTTCTTTCAGGTTTCTTCCATTTATGCTGATTGCTGTCTGTTGTTGTTGCTGTTGGTGTTGGCCAGGGATCTTCATCACCTCCGTTTTCTCTATGTTCACCTGGAGTCCTATCTTTGATGCTTCTTCTGCCAACTTATTACTTTTCACTTGCATATCTTCCAGTTTGTGGGAAATCAGACATATATCATCGGTGAAGTCCAGATCCTCCAAGTTCTTTGTGTGAGTCCATTTTATGCCTGTTTCCTCATTGCCCGCTGTTTGTCGCATTATCCAATCTACTGCAATCAGGAAAATCATTGGCGATAGTAGGCAACCCTGTCTTACTCCTGTCTTCACTTCGAAGGATTCCGTGAGCTTTATCAGAGTATTATTAAACCCGAATTTACAAAATCTCAGCATTTGTGTAACAAAGAGTTAAGAGGTGAGAAAATAGACTTAGGTCAAGTTAAAAGGACATATTGGTCTTCATTGTTATTTCGACTTTCAATATGTCCTTTTAACTTGACCTAAGTCTATTTTCTCACCTCTTAACTCTTTGTTACACAAATGCTGAGATTTTGTAAATTCGGGTTTAATAATACTCTGATAAAGCTATTAGCATTAAAAAGAGAAACGTCAGTAAGAGCAACAATATCGTTTTGTTTTTCATTCATTGGGAAATACAAAAGCCTTTAATATAATGAATATCATATACCCAATGCCTAAATTTTTTCAAACTGTTAAAAGTGAACTTGGTTTGGATAATACAATTATAAACCTTATTCTAACTGAAGAAAGATCGCCAAAGAACCGTTCTTGAATACAAATATGGAACATTCTAATTGGTTTCTCAGGATCGTTTGACAGGTCGTTGATACTGGTTGCTATTCTTTATAATTACGGAAGTTAGAATTCATGAACTATTTGATTCTGCACTAGTGGCTGACTTATACAACGTACTTGGCTCATGCTCCTCAGATTCTTATTTCGATCACTGGTGGTTTTATGGGTGCGTACTGCCAACACGATACAGTACTCTCTGGTTTTCTAGCTGACGTCTGTGCGTGGTAAAGTCTTATTTGAAATCAGTAACTCGGTTTATTTTTCTGTGATATTTTACCAGGTGTAGTGTATTACTTATTAAAAGTTCAAGATATTTCAATTTTAACAATAAATTGATATATAATGTACCACACTCTAGAATGAGGTCTCAGACAATATTCAATAATGTGCCTCTAAAGTGTGAGTATTTCATTTCTACAGGAATACTTGGAAGAATTGCATAAACTTCATGAATCCTGGTTAATAGAACGACGTTTTGGGCCACTTCCTGCTCCGTTATTAGTAAGTTCTATAGAGGTGTTTGTTTTCCCTTTTACATATTTTGTAGATATTTGAATTAATTTTCATTGATGAATCGTTGTTTTATCTACCGTCTAATTTTGTCGTTTTAATATGCTTCTCAGTTTAATAAAACAAAAATGAATATTTAATTTTGATATCAATCTATATGCTTGTTAGTCTACGTTGATTGAAGTGGCTAGGACGCGTGTTACACTTGCTGAGCTACTACCTTCATTGATGATCATTGTTACCAGATATATAATTATTTTGGAAAAGGGTTAGGAGTGACAGTTAATTTCAGCTATCTACATAGAGAGCTGCAGACTGTCTAGTAGGTTTCCTCGGAACTCTAAGAAACACTGGCTTGAGAATGTTAGTGATATAGCTCAAAATCGTTCTGAATGGCGCAGATGCTTTCATTTTCATGTTTTTCCATTTTACTCTTCTTTCTCCCGTACATTTCTGCTCATTATATTTCTCAAGTATTGGTTTTATAGGGATTTTGTTTGATTGCATGGAGGATTTCATCATGAACTGACATCAGTTAGAGAACCACTGGAAAACCTGGGAGTACTGAACAGCTGTTTCGTCCTAGTTTGTGACTCTTCATCAGTACGCACCCACCTGGGTTTGAACCCAGGACCTTCTGGTTACAAGGCGAGCTCGTAGACCATTGAGCCACTGGGACAAGATCTAATGGCCAGTGCATGAATTCTAAATTCTGCCAATTCACGACATAGTCAAAAGGTCCTGGGTTCAAACCCCGGCGGGTGCGTGCTGATAGAGAGTCACAAACTAGGACGAAACAGCTGTTCAGTACTCCCAGGTTTTCCAGTGGTTCTCTAACTGATGTCAGCTCATGATGAAATCCTCCATGCATTATATATCTTTCGAATTTTTGTTTTTCTTTCTTCTACCTATGTGTAGTGTATGAAGTGTGACAACTTTAACTCCTGCGATTTTGTACAGAGCTCTACGTTTAGACTCTCAGTCATTCAGTCAATCTTGATGTAGTCTAAAATGGTGTTTGTTATATAATCTTATCATAAAGGTGTAAAGATAATCTTAACTACATGTTGTCTCGGTGATAGAATACTGGATTTGGGTGCCTTCCTACATCTACACACCACTGTGTACGACTGAGCACGCGACTGACTATTCCCACACTGAAAAAGATGCAGAAGGCTAACTGGAATAGTAATCAAGGATTTATTGCTTTATGGAAAAATGCAGTACGACTAGAAATTACAATCAGCGATTAGACAATTATTTCACATGCCCAATAAATCAATAGTTTAAGATATTATAAGAACTGTGTTTTGACTGGTAAAAATATACCCATAAAAATAAAACCATATGACCTTCAATCTATGTTAGGTTCAAACCTTTGCTTTATAGATCACGTGAGAAACACTGGATCATTATGTCTCCTCTTGTTCTAACACTTTATTATTTACTGTGTTTGATCAGTGGCTCACAGTTAATATATGAATAATTTTTTGTAAAATAATTGGACTTTGAATACAACTCAATGATTTGGTTCATTACATTTATCATATACCACGTTAAATTGTGTACGTATGTGTCCAATAACAAACTCTATCATAAACTTATTAAACAAACAACATTCATTTTGGGTGTACGCAGTTGAAGAGAATCCATGGTACAAAACGAGCTCGTACTATCCTGTAAATATATTCGTTCTTTCTTTATTGAAACTAACAAAGTGAGTCGGTTGTATGGCATTCATTTCGGTCAGACAGTATTAGTAATTGCTGTTGTTTCCAGCACAATTTACTGTTCATGCTGATATCAACGTGTTCACACGACTTCATAACTTGCCTTATATACTTTCACTCCCACTCTGTTCTTTGTTACAATTTTCCATATATCCGGTATGTGTTGCGTCATTTAGATTGCAGGTGTTTGGCGTTGATTATTGGGTGAGCAAAGATGCGGTGGTTAACCTCTCTCTATCTCTATCTCAATCTAACTATATTGCTTCTTATTGCTTTATCCTATCCCACACTATTGTATGAATACATGCAAGTGAATGCATTGCAATGACTGAGCTTTTGTTTAGGCAACGCCATATAGCTAAATCCTTATATTCTGATGTTCTATCTGACCCTGAATTCCATCGACGGAGAGCTACTGTGGCCGTGAAAGGAAAATACGTCGCACACTAATCAAGGCACCCTAGTCGAACTAATGCAGCCAGGTTAGAGCCTACGAAGAGTTGTCATCTGAACTGGTGACAACCACTGGAATCCGTCGGGAGGGATGCCCACTGTCCCCATTTCTGTGTAATTTTATCACAGATGTACTAATGGAATTAACCCTAACTACTGACTTTAGCGACTCAGGGATTGACTTGTTATCAGGGTATAATCTCGTTGACTAAGAATATGCAGATGATATAGTCCTTCTAGATGAAGACGCTGACAAAATGCAGAGTCTTCTGAACACCTCAATCAAGGAACATGTGTACTATACAGCACCAGTACGCTCCGTCTTTCTTTATGACTGTGAGACATGGCTGTTGAAAGTGGAAAATACGAAAAGACTAGCTGCGCTTGACCATAGGTGCCTGCGTTTTATCTCCCATACTAGATGGTTTAATAGGGTGGCTGATATTAAGATTAGGCTTCAGTCGAGTGCTGGGTAATGAGGAGAAATCAATCGACGAGGTTATGAAGTTAAATCGATTGAGATGGTTAGGATATGTGTTACGCATGCCTACCCATCCATCGCCTACCTCGACGAGCAATATTACGTGACATAAGGATCAGGTTGGAAAAGAGCTAGTGGTGTTCAAACCAAAACTTGGAACCAGTTAGTGAAATGCACAACAGTTAGTCTAAACCACGTAGAGAGGTGTAGACTTCTTGACTGGTTGGGGAGTACTGGACATCTGTTTCGTTCTAGTTTGGGACTCTTCATCAGTACGCACCCACCGGGTTTTCCAATGGTTCTCTAACCAATGTCAGCTCATGATGAAATCCTGTAACCAAAAAAATCTAGTTGGTAGAAAACAACATAGGTGTTACCACTGTAATATATGTATAGTTGAATAATTTTCTTTTGGGTGTAGAAGACCGGTTTTTCCATCTGAGTGGATAGAGCTTCAGTGATGCAAAGGAGACGAAAGCGTATTGTCTTTGGCAGGTTGTTTTTCACTTTATAGGTTACTCCGAAGAATGAATTTGTTGAGATAGAATGACCAGTGTTGACAGTGTGTTCAATTATTGCACTCCTTTAGAGAGCCACTGCAACTTTGCGGGATAATGTTCTTCAACCCTTTTAAACAGGATGCACGTTGAACAACCAATGTACCTGGCTCCACAGGAACAGGTAAACTGATATATGCATGCAGAAATGGTCAGATGCTCGAGATCTAATCCCTCAAACTTCTGGAGACAAGTGGATGACTGGGAGGGGGAACCCTACTCTTATCATTGCTGCGAAGAATGTTCTCAGAGATGATCAAATTCTCTCCTTAACTTTAACCACCTATACTGAATCAAAACTTATTTAGAGTGAATCTAAAGAGGTGATATCTCTTGAATGTTGAAGTTTGTTATTACCCTTAATAAACTGCGAATATTACGTAATCCTAGTAACACACTCATGACTCTGAATATGTTAAATCCGCGCGTATTCACCTATTTTCTTTTTGTATAATATAAGACATATTTATTCTAACAACTGACTGTAATAATTTAAATAATAATGACACTTCGTCGCTTTATGAATTTCGGATTCATTTAAACAATAGAGTCACATTGTATTATATGGTCACACGCATATAGGGATGACCCATCTATCTTTGCGAGTCACAACTACAGGATACATTTCTCTAAGTGACTTTAAGAACAAATGAAATCACCTGATTCAATTAACTTCAGAAATAAATATATACAGAGTTATCTGTCGCGAAGCATGTCTTAGAGATGAGTTATAAAGTTGATTTTCTTAGTGCATTTAAACCCATCTGTAAAACAGTTTTGGGTCATAGATTTAAATTCTTTGAAGTCTTAGGTATAAAAAGGTTTAAACCTGTTTCGTATGTTTTAAAATTATTTGGTATTACTTTGAACCCAACTTGGTAATCGGATTTTAAAACTAAGGTTTATTTGACTTAATAATGTTTCCACTTTCCAACCCTTCCCCTTCTGTTTTCCACAATTTCTTATTTGTGATCGTCACCAGTGGACATCATGACTTAATTTGATAAAAAAAAAAAGCTTTTATCCTTTATGCTTTGTTGTCTTTTAATATAAACATGTTATGAAAGTGTGCATGTGGTCAGAATGTCTTAAATATGTCACGCAAATAGAGATTACACGTTTCAGATAAATTTCATCTTACCGTTTTTTTGAAATAGAGACATGAACGTGTTTGGTGATTAACAAAGTAGATGATCTCTATATCTAAAATCTGCATCTCTTAAGCCATAAATACTTAAGTAGCCTGTTACCGGTTTCGCTCATTCTAGTGTAAATCGACTGGTTACAAGATATGATCAGGGGAAAACAAGAATTCCCCATTAAAATATGTAAAATACCATGATGTTACATTCTACTGATTGATTCTTGTGAGTACTTGGAAATCTCTCACGTAAACCAGTAGTGTTTTCTAGCTAGCGGAAGTGATGTGAACGCCGGGTAGCCATTTCGTTCGTTTTTGGTCGAGCCTATCGGCCGTGTACTCAGCGCAGAGAGCGAAATCAGTTCCTACCAACTGAATTTCGGCTATCTATCTTGGTGAATTGCTAGAACGTAGAATGGCGTTCGCGATTTACAAATTTCACACAGTTTGAGATGAGGGCCTGACTCGGAAGAGGAGAAATGACTGTCCTGTGGTTGTATCCATTTGATTTGTCTAGCAAGCACTATAATTTTCAAGTGTTGACTTGAAGGAATTTGATTGGTTACAGGATTTCATCATAAGCTGACATCGGTTAGAAAACCATTGAAAAACCTGGGAATATTGGGCAGTTGTTTCGTCCGGGCTTGGAATGGGCCACCTGGTCGTTCCCCAGTGGTTAAATGGTCTACGAGGTTGACTTGTAACCGAAAGGTCCATCTACTCATATCAGTCGGTCAGCAGTATGTGAAGGCATTCTGTCTCAATTGCTTTCGTGATTACCACTCGCATTATCAAACAGGTCACATATTGTGATGTGTTAAACTAGTCCTTCGCCTTCTCAATGTTTGAGAACTATATTCGAGTACTCAGTTATATTTTAACAGCAGAAGACAAGACACGAAAACCAAAGTATCTTTTTCATCGATCAAACAGCTGTTTAAATACATACAGTTTATATTCTTTAACCAATCACTGAGCGTTTGACTTGGGTTTACATCAAACGAGATGAAACAGAATGTTCAAATAGACATATTGTATTCCGTCGCTAAAACCGAATGGAGCTGTGGGAATATGTGAGAATAATATTCCGTTGGCACACATTGTCTGTATGACACCAGCACAATATAGTTGTCATGTGTTTAAGTCCTTTGTAGATGAATAACAGTGGTCACAGTTATAAAGCAACTCAAATTCAATATTATCTTGGCTACTTCATATAAACAGTGGTTAGGACTCTCGCCAACCATACACATGGTCCGAGGTTCGATCCCCCGCCGACGAACATCTGATATCTATGGTCGGCCTGCTAAATTTGGGCTACCGATATCACATGCTGAAAATTTCATACTTGTACCAAAATACCGTGTGGAATCAAGCTATAATAAAATTAAAATAAAAAAAATATAATTTTTGTTTCTTTACTTATTACAGGTTTTCGATTGTAATGCAGCATTACCTGAACTTTTGTCAGAGTATCGATCACACAAAGAAGAAGTGATGTGTGGTATCCAGTTATAAATTGTTGAATTTCATATTTTTCGAGAAAGACGGACTTCTTACACAACCTTTGTTTTTGTTTGTAAACTTTTTGTACATTTTCAATGTTTAACTTTATACCTGAGATTTCCCGGTGTTACCATTTACTTTTCTGAAAATATTTTGATAATTTTTCTGTCATTTTATGTATAAATGTTCATTTTTAGATTTTTTGTAATAATAAAGTAGAATGGAAATATTATTCAGTCTTCTGACTCATAAATACCTTTAATGCTTGGAATACTTGAACCGTTGAATTAAGTTGGGAAAGAGGCACGGGTGTGGATAAGTGAAAACATGAAATCCGTTCATCAAGTTTTTAACTTTTGGTTTAATCCACAGGTGTAGGGGAATGTAGACTGTTTGGCCGGAGGTCCTGGAAATGCTTAGAAGTAATGACTTGAGGCTGTTGGCGCAGATGTATTCATTCTTGAGGATCACACCCAGTTCTATGTTTTCCGATGTAGTTATTCTTTCTCTTGCAAATTTTTGCTCATTGTATCTCTTCTAGATTTCGTTTTTCTCTATCTTTGCTTGGTGAATGGTGTGTCAATTTGAACTTGTGTACAAAATTCTACATGTGGTCTTACTCAAGCGAAACTGAAGGCTTCACTGAGAAAAAAACAACAAGCGGGTACATAGCTAATTGTCATTTATAAGAAGCCCAGCCAGACGATCCTCTTCTTGCTCCAGTAGAGCTACGTCAGCGTTTCTTCTTGAAAAAAAGAAGAGGAAGAAGACTTATGTAGTGGCATAATGCTGGTTTTTATCTCGTTACATTACCCTCCATTTACGCAAGCTTTCGTAATTCCCGCGTGAATTTGACTAACTATAAGTATATTAACGATTAAAATTTAGACTTTATTTCTTATAAAGTTTCTAGAGTATTTTCGATTTTTATGTAATAAATAAGTGTTCAATCTAAAATTGCACTTCTTAAATATGATCATGCCTGTACAAACTGTATGTCGATCATGTAAATGCTTACTTTATGTCTGTACCACACCATCACACTGTTACAGAGAGTTACAAGTTGAATTTCCTTAACACGCAGAAGAGCTTTATATTTACAGCTTCCCTGTGTACATGGATGCAACTTGCTCCGTAAATTCTCAGGTGTTTGCCACATAATTTTCTCAGTTTTGTATGAAGCTCATTTTAGAGCATTCCAATCTCCGCCTGGGATTACTGAATCAGTGCTGATTCCTTGCTGTTAGCTGTATACATATATGGCAAGCATAACTGGACTTTTATGTATTTTTTCACATTAATAAACCAAACCTCAAACACAATAATACTAATAATAATATATTCTCATTCTTGGTACATTAGGGAAGGCCAGTTTATAGCCATCATCAATACGATAAATTACATATGCGATTAGTAAGCATATTTAGTGATGATAATATAATAACGTACATATTTATTCCTACCTATGTAGGACACACCAGTTGTACAGGCACGGATAAGTATTATTTAAATTGCACAAATTTGGTTTAAGGTGAAATTGCGTGGTTGCTGTCTTTTTGTCTTCAGTTTGTGGGAACAATCTGATAACTAGTGATTCAATGGAGCACATCAAGAAATATTGACTTCCCATTAACAAAACCCTTGTATGTGTTGAATGGATTACAGATCCTTGCGAAAAAATAAAGCTTGAAGTCATTTCCCTCATATAATAATGAAATGCATCTTATAATAATATATTCTCAATTTATGCAAATGAGAGACTGCAGTTAACAGGCATCATCAATATGATAATAATGTATACATGGAGTAAGCATGTTTACAGTTTTTACTGACACCGGATATATATATATATATATATATATACAAGGAAAGATTATGGAATAATGACAGCAAGCACGCTTTGCATAAGTTAAAACAATTTATACGATATTATCCTAGGCACCATTATTGTTTGAATTTGTCGAAAATGCGTGTAACAACTGAGTGTTACGTGACATGTGGTCGATATGTTGGGCTATTCACAAAAGTATAAAAATGGCTTGTAAAACGTTAGTTAGTTTACCGTAAACGATGTTTTAAACAATATAATCTGCAAGAGGCTCACCACAGCAGTTATTATCCAGTTAAACATGCAGAGAAGTATTAATAATTCAGCAACCGGTGAATTTTTGATTCTTTTCGGTCTGGAACCAGAATAACTGCTAACCAATCCATACAAAAATGTCGAAAAAGGCATGCAGGAGGAGAATTTCGCCATCGAATGAGTCAGTGGGATCTGAAATGCAACTGTCAGCATATTTTCGTTATTTCGTAGATATCCAGGTTTATTGGGGCTGTATAGGTAGTGATTTGGATTTGTCATCATGATCGACATATGGATGAATATTCAAATGTGTACTACAACTTGTTTGCCTTTCGGATTTAGTTAATTACATCGCGTGTAGGGTTTGATTCCTCTGTTGTGGTGCTATTTGACCAAACTAACGTATACGTATATCCTAGTACTTCTTCGCGTTTATGATTGTGTCCTAACGTTGTGATTACTCGACATCCACAACGTAAATCAAAAGGCACTTGAAAAGGAGTACGAACGTGTATTATAGCCGTAATTAAAATTCAAAAGTTGAGCGAGTACAAATGTATCAATTGTTAACACGCAATCTTTAGAGTGATAAACAAATCAAAGTCCAATTACATAGTGAAAGTACACTACGATGATGAGTAATAAAATGGATCACTACAACACTAAGATTTTGACATATTCCGCGAAGTGTCGCCGTGATCATGGGGAGTATACGTATGCTTTAAATGCATTGCTTCGTTGACTGCTACCTGCACTAAGCACATACAACGGGAACTGTGGATTTATGTAATTCCTTGACACTGTGGATACAGCATCACCTCATTCTTTTCGGGGAGTAGACCGGTTAGTAGATTATAAATAATGTCCAAGTAACTGATATCTTTCCATGTTATGTTATGGTAAGTTTCGACCTTGTTTTCTCATATTTCATTCGTATTTCGGTTATTGTTCATCCTTGGTACCAGGTAGACATTATTCGATCGACTCTTATTTGCTTGGGTACTTTTGTCATGACTGCTGCTTTTTGGCCTGAAATTTAAATATAGGTAAAACAAACGGGTGTAGTCTCTAAGTTCATACATTAAATGGGCCTATGATTTCTGAAGCTTTTACATGGGAATTAGCACTGGTATCACTTGCAAACTCTTTTAGTGTGTCATTAAGTGCCTTTCCAAATGAGGCCAGTGTGCTCGCTAGTCACATTTCCTTAGGTAGTTTGTTCCATATTTGGCCATACCTAATCAAGAAAAACTTTTGCTTGGTGGCTGTTTTACATTGTTCTATAGCGTGTACCTTCAGTGTGTCTAAGGCTATATGCAGTGTCTTCTGAAAACCGAATACAATTGGCAGGGTTATACACTATGTGGTTGAGAAGCTTACAGAAGAGTACCAGATTTAGTTGCAGTCGTCTTAACCATAATGTTTCTAGTTTTAGGATTTCACATCTGGTAGAGTAGTTTGTGCCGTTTTCGGTTCTGAGTGCTTTAAGCGTGAAGTACCTCTGTACTCCTTCTACTTTCAGTTTGTCTTCTATACGTATACTACTAAATATTAATGAGCAGTAATCTAGAGATGGGCGCACACAAACCTTGTACAGAAGTATTCTAGATTCACTTCCTGAATAGGAAACCAATAAGCCTGCGTGATTTCGATATTCGCTTACGAACACTTACAGCAAACCATATGATGCCCACTTACTAATTAGTACTAGTACGAAATATGGGGTGAGGATATGTTCTATGACGTGTTAATTTTTCCGCGCCTCAGGTTTTCTCGTCTTTCATTGGCTGGAACAGTGGTGGCTAATTTGATATTTAATTTGTCCTTGTTAGGTGATGTCGTTGCAGGTTTGTGTGCTTGAGGTATGCGTTGTTTACAAGCATATTTGATGAAAATAAATGTAAAATTAGAGTATTCTAACGTTTTCTTTTACTTATTTGTGCATGTACAAGGCTTGGCTTATCATACACTCGGGTTGTTGGCCTATCGGTTGCTGGCGATGTCAAGGAACCCGTGAGTTCTTTGGCTTTTCTCGATTTTAGGTTATACGTGTAGCATTTTATCGGTGGATATTGCTCAGTGATGTATTTCAATGTTGCTTTTTCTACGGAATTATATTGAAACAGTCGTGAGACAGATGGATACTAATTGACAAAGCCTTTTTAGTTTATTGCAGGTAGCCAATGCGAGTGAGAGCATTATTTATCCTGTAGTATTGTGTGCATAATTCTATTTTTGTTTACTCTTCCATCTTTTGTAGTTAATAATGTGCTGCATAAGTGTCAACGATGGACATGGTCTCGCAACTCGTGCGCATCTGGAAGCGGGAGAAGTAATCGCACAAATGGACCATTTTCTTAATATGTAAACAAACTAATGTTGTATTATAATAAATATGAACTTTTCATGTAAATGTTGTTGTCTTTCAATTCATGTATTCGCTTTGTGAGCACGGCATGCTAGACCGGTGCTCCCTAGGACTTGAACTCGTTACTATACTTAAGTGTAATTCTGTGTTTATTACAATTATATATACCGCTACTATTGCACAATTGTACTAGCTAAAACACAATAGCTTTACTTTTTCTTTTTTTATCCCTTCACATTCTCAGTAGAACATAAGGCCTCAAGCTAGGGACTTGAAGCTTCTGTAGCAGTGATGTTTATTTTTACAAAAAAGGGTTGCTAGCCCCATGCTCAACCTTCCCTCTTTACCAACCTTATTACTGGCTTAGCGAGTTAAAGGAGTACGTCGGCCAGGGATCGAACACCGAACCACACGAGGCGTGGTTGGCGAACATTCTACCGCTGCCTCACCGACGCCGTAGCCTTACTTACATAAGCATATAACCTATCAACGACAAGGCTGTATAGTAATGGAGAAATGGAGGAACCTATTTGTTTACCTGATCATTTCTTTAAAAAACGTTTTATTTGAGCCTATGACGTGGTAACTCTAAACTATAGCAGCTCAAAACGAGACTACCCAATGAACGGATTGATGACGTTGATGAATTTATTCACAGAAATTGGTCTAACCTGACAACGAGGACTCCCGTGAGAAATTGGGAGGTTTCTTGGAACATACACAAGAATATTATCA